CACTTCCTTTTGTGACGGCGCCGCTCGCGGTGACCTCAGCGCGCGGCCCCGCCCCCGCGTCGCCTCGCCCCGCCCCCTCGCACCGGCCGCTCCGCTGCCGTTGCGCTGTTCCAGTCTCCCCCCTCGCTGTTCCTTCCTCCCCCCGCCTCTGCTCCTTAAAGGGCCAGCGCCACGTGCATCGCCCTGCCTCCTGCCTGCCTCCCTTCCTGGCGAGAGGCAAGGGGAGCTGGGGGCGCGCACCCCTGCCAGGCGGTTCAACACCTGCGCAGTGAAGAGTTTCGAAGGACTCGAGCGCATGACAAGCCGCGACGTTGAGGGACTCTCCCGCCCTCCGCTGCCTGGATAGAAACGCGGCCACCGCTGCCAGGAGGTCGGCTTTCGACTTTGCACGGACCGGGAAGTGAAGGGGTCTGCAAATACACCACCCCCGCCTGGAGCGACGTCCCCACCAGACATGGCCCTCGCCCTCGACACTGCAGTTTGGGCGGGCAGAGATCCCGGGAAAGACACCGGGGCCTCGTGGGCACTAGGGACGTGGGCGTCCATCATGGCAAGCGGCGGTCCGTGGCGTCCTCTGTATTTGTCCGGAGTCTCGCGGCGATCTGTGAAGCCCCACATCTGGAGTCCTGGAAATACGTGCTTCCCTTTACCAAAATAAAAAAAAAAAAAATCCCAAAAAAGTTGGTTTAAAACCCTCCAGTTAGCAGAGAAAAGCTTGAACTTACGACCTGAAGGCACCCTCCAGGCTCAAATAAATGAACGGATGAATGCAAAGCAAGGGGAACAACTCTATTTTTTTTAACTTGGTGGTTTTTATATTTTGCTTCACGACTTACGAGCGAGGGAGACAGGTGGGCTCTTGACTCGGGGCCCATCCTGTCTTGAGCATGTGTGACCTCTGATTTGGGGGGCCTGACGTGTCCTCCGTGGAGCATTTGGGTTGAGCATGGCTGGATCTATGCACCGGTGCACGTGCATAGAAAGCAGGCTGCAAAATGTCTCCTCTCCTGCCTGCTCCCACTGGATAACACAGAGCTTGCAGGAAGAAATGATTAGCGAAGTGAAACCACCCATAAGACATTTGCATAGAAGGGCAAACCCTGTCTGGTGCTAATGACAATTAATCCATCTCAGTGACTCCCCTGATATTTTTCTTTCACACCTGTAATTGCAACATTTACCACAAGTCTGTGACATGTCTGAGAGGGAAGGGAATTGGTCCCTGGGATAGACATGTCCTCAAGACAATGTTTAAACCAAGTTGTGGTCGGCACTTCAGGCAAGTCTGAGAACCCCTGATCGATGCCATTATATTGCCCTGGTTGTTGTGCTAGATGTGGGGTGACCGTAATTATTTTCAAGGAAATCTGGGACGGGGAGGCACGTGCATAACCAATCCCCGCCCCCCACCCTGTGGCTCCCAGGTTTCTGCTAATTCAGGACTTTTGCTTAAAGTTTCTCCAATGGCCAGGGTGCTGAGACAACCTCTGAAATCTAGGAATATGGCCACCCTAAATATATAGGAACTAATAGGCTCATTGTTCACTGCCTTTGTATGGCCTGACTTCTTCTAGGAAGTCTACAACTAAATCAAAAAGTAAATGTATTAAAATAAAAACATTATTATGTATATGCAGTGTCACTGGTACTGCAGACAGACAAGAGCTATTGAATCATCTAATCTAGTCCTTCCCCTCCCTGATCTGGTTAATACAGGATAATATTCCCAGGTAGATGAGGTATTAGGCCCAATCTTGCAAACATGAGACTGATTACAGGAGGAAACTTAAGCACGTGCATGAGTGTTCAGGGCCTTAGCCATTAAGCTAATCTTATCACATAACATATTCATAATTATTTGCAGTAGTAGAGAAGTGGCAACATCTGTAGATGAAGCTAAATCAGGTCTTCCTCCTGCAAGCACTTATGCTCATCCTCACCTTTAAGCACATGATCACTGGAACAACTCAGGTGATTAAAATTAGACATATTTAAGCATTTGCAAGAGTCGGGCCTTAGCTGATTATTAGTCAAGGCTTGAGAAACATAACGAGAAGGCACTGGACGCAGCGCTCTAGCTGTGGCCTGACCAGTGCCGCGTAGAGGGGAAGCATTGCCTCCCTGGACCTGTTCACCATGATAAAGTGCGGTTAGCCTTGTTGATCACTTCGTCACGCTGACGACTTGTGTTCATCTCGGAGTCAGCTATGACTCCGAGATCCCTTTCTGCTGCCATGCTGCTGAGAAGGTCGCCCCCCAGCCTGGAAGTGTGTTGGTGACTCCTCCCCAGGTGCAGCACCTTGCACTTGTCCTCGTTGAACTGCATCCTGTTTCGTTCTACCCATTTTTCCAACCTGTCCAAAACTGCCTGGATCCGTTCCCTACCCTCTGCTGTGTTAACTTTGCCCCATAATTTGGTGTCATCTCTCCACGCCCTCGTCCAAGTCACTGATGGAGACATTGAACAGCACTGGTCCAAGGACCGAGCCTTGCGGGACTCCACTCCTGCATCTTTCCAGGTCGATACCGACCCATCCACCACAACTCTCTGGGTGTCACCCCTAACTCATTTTGCCACCCACCATCACAGCCTGTCAGTTTATTTATGAGACCAGAATGCGATACCGTATCGAAGGCCTTCTTAAAGCCTAGGTACATGACATCCACCTTGACTCCTGCGTCTCAGCATTTTGTTACCTGGTTGTAAAAAGAAACAAGGTTAGTCAGGCAGGTTCTCCCTGCAATGAACCCGTGCTGATTTCCTTTCAGCATTATTTCCCTGGCTGGGCTCCCACAAGTGTGATCCTTAATGATTTTTTCCAGAGTTTTCCCCAAGGCACAAGGGACGACTAAGGCATGACTGCAGACACCTTCCAGCAAATCTCTGCTCAGTCAGAAAAAAACCACAAATTTGCAGGAGAGCAAAGACCGGTGGGGGCCAACCATTTTTAACAGGGGTACCACAAATTAGCCCCGCACTCCCACTGAATGCCACGCTGAACCCTTTCCCCTGCCTGACCTGCTGCTCTGCTTTCTGCTCCCTGTCCTATCAGCCACTGTGCTGCCTGTTTGCTTTCTAACCTGCCATGTGCCCCACACAGAGGTTGCCCATGTCACTTGTGCCACCCATGCCACAAATTAGCCACTGTGGGTTAAACTATAATAATGACCATTTTCTAATGCCTTTGTGCAACTCAGCGGCACACGCCTCTGTCTGCAATCCTGCAGCCGGTTCAGGTCCCCGTCTCAGAAGGGTACGACGTAAATGCAAGGGGTGAGGTCTAGAGACCAGCAACAAAACTGCTAAGAGGCTGAGAAAGGTTTATGTACGAGGAAAGGCGTACGAACGCTTAGAAGGGAGTTGAACAAAAATGCATGGATAGAGGGGAATGGTACAAAGGAAGTGAAGATATTTCTCTCGATACAAGGCCCTTTTCTTGAAGTAACGCTGCATCGCTTACCCAGATGTTGGGGGCTCCAGGGATGCAACGCCCCTCCATTGAGACAGCTCCACTGTGGATCAGGCTCTGTTCTCCTGAAGCAGCCCTCCCGAGTCATTTCCATCGCTCACTGAGAAGGTGGCATTCATCAGGACTGAAAGGCAAGGCATTTAAAACGAATAAAAGGGAAGACTTTTTGAAAAACCCAGGCTGGTTTTGCCACAACATGTTTGTGAGGCCAGACACTTAAGAGGATTCAGAGGAAAAATGTTCCTATTCCATTGTCCGCAGATGCTACCACTGGATGGGTTTGTGGACCAGGTTCGAAGGATGATTGGAGGTTTGCATGGATAATAAGACTGACCAGAGTTATACCAGTTAATGCTGAGACAGTCAGGAAACAGGCAGGAAATCTTCATTCTTGAGGCCTTCCCCTGTCTTTGAGATCTGTGGGGAGGACAGCCCCTGCCCAAGGCTACTCAAGGGATAGCACTGTGAGCCGCAAACTTCAAACCTGTCTCGTGCAGGTTTAAAACTACAGCTGTTTAGCTCCAGTGTACTGCTATGGGCCAGGTTCACCCCCAAAGCAGTGCTGTAGTTGCTGTAAGGACTGACGGGAGGCAGTCTTACCCTTCCCAATGCTTCTGCTTACAGGGGCCAACTCCTGGGCTTGGGGCAGGGCAGAATCACTCCTCACTTTCTCCCACCTTTTCCCTCCTCCACTCCCACCCTGCTCCAGGTTACTGCCACCAGAGACCTGAGCTGCCCTGGGAACCCCAAGGGGGGTCTGCAAAGGGGGCTTATGCCTGCTTTGACATTAAAAAATATTCAAATTCATGCAGTCAGAGAGAAGTTGGGCTGGAAGGGACCTCCATCCAGCATTATGTCCAACCCTGCCAGAGGCAGGATCATTCCCTAGCCAAACCATCACGTACAAATCCATTCTCTAACCTCGTGGCAAAACTGCCCAGCCAACCTTAGCAACATAAGACGTAACACCCCAGCCAGCCACGGGGAAAGCCAGGGGACCATGGCAGCCGTAAAGGTTGTTAATACATGCTCAGATTATTGGGAACCCACGGTGCCTCCAGCCTGACATCTCGCCCAGGGAATGAAGTCAATCACCATCGCATTGTGGGGTCGGACTTGATGATCTGTTCAGGTCCCTTCCGACCCTGGAAACTATGAATTAAGTTGTTAATTTGTGCTGGAGAGAATGAGAATGCCGACCGTGTCTGCTGCTTTGCACCAGT